CTCCCATCCACTCTAAATGCTCACAATTGCTTGGCTGGGCTGGGACTGAAGTCAGGAGCCAGGAACTCAACCCAGGTGTCCCAGATGGGTGACATGAACCAAATTATTTGTGCCATCACCATTGCCTCCCAGGGTATCTGTGTTAGCAAGAAGCTGGAGTCAGAAACTGGATTTTGGGATTTTGGGTGCTGAACCCAGGCATTCGACCCACGTTGTAATCGCTAGGCCTGAATGCCTGCCTGAGAGTTGAGATTTTTTAAAGCAAGAATTATACAATGCAATACAAGAATATTAGGGTCTTGTATGTCTACACAAAGGCTTCTGATGGACTGAATCTTGGTGATACTTCTCCTACGGTTAAGAACCATAAGCTTCCCTTTCTTCATTCTATGGACATTACACACAGGGTTTCTGGGATAGATGGTGATAGGAATACACTTTTCTTTGCTATTACTCAGCCACTCAAAGGTGTTTGTAACAGCACATTCATCTGAATTCCGTTGTTTAACAGAAATGGAGACATTTACTTCTCTCTTTCGGCACTTTGGTCTTGTCAGGTTGCAAGAAATATCGTCATGGCATGGTGTGGAGGCAAATTGAAACTGCAAGACTTGAACTTTAAAGAGCCTTTAGAAATGTTTTATTGGACGGTTATTTTCCCACCTGAAGTTGACTGATGCCGCTGCACAGAAATGCAATTTTCCATTTGTTCCAAGCTGCTTCTGTATCCCCGCAGTAAAAACCCAGTCTTACTTCCCTTTAGGAGTCTTGTAGAGCACAGTATTAAACGCGGAGCTGCTGACTAGAATGGAGCTTGTTAAAGAGGGGAAGCAAGGCTTTCAGGAGAAGAGCTAGAGTGGTGAAAAAAGAATCGCAAGTCAGACAGCAGTCAGAACCTTGCTTCTAGATCTCATTCAGAAGCACTCTTGCTGTGACTGATCTGCTTAAGCCAAGAACCTCGACAGGACTAGTACTTTCCTTGGATAATGCCTTGGGATGGGGGGGGGTCCCCTGCACATAGTAGGGTGTTTGTGACCTTGGCATCTACCCATGAGATGCCAGTAGCACCCTACATTCCTTAACCCTAAGACAACCAAAAACGTCTGCAGAGATTGGTGTGGGATGCAAAATCACCTTGTGTTAAGAACTGCCATCTTATGCCTTACTTTCCTCATCTGTAAAGTGGAACTAATGAGAACACAAACTGTCTATTGGCTTATTTCAGGATGATGCATCCAAATGGGTGAGTTGCTCCATAGGAACCATTATTTCCTAGACACATTTGTTCAGTCATGTGTTCAGGTTGAGCTGTCTTCATGGGTAGCAGGAGAGTCAACAGGTCTCTGCCCACAGAATGCAATGAGGGCAGGTAGGGAAAATGCATTCTGTTTTCAACAGCAAAATCAAGAGTTAAGACTTTATAGACACATCTGGAGCTGGCGTAGTAGCACAGCAGGTTAAGCCTCTGCCTGTGATGCCAACATCCCACGTGGGCACCAGTTTGAGTCCCAGCTGTTCTACTTCCGATCCAGCTCCCTGCTAATGCACCTGGAAAAGCACCAGAAGATGAACTAAGTTCTTGGGCCCCTGCCACCCATGTGGGAGACCAAGATGGAGTTTCAGGTTCCTCTCTTTGGTCTGGCTCAGCCCTGGCCGTCATTGTGGCCCTTTTGGGAGTGAATCAACTGAAGGAAGCTCTCACTCTTTCTCTATAACTCTGCCTTTCAAATACATAAAGAAAAAGAATTTATAGATACACATATAGATTATATATACACATATATATACATATAGATATTTATAGATAGACATTTTGAACTCTATTTAAAGAAGGGATGCAACTGCTGAGTTGGGGGTTGATCCAAATTACCATTGAGGTTTATTAGCTTTGAACAAGACAATGAGAGTGGCTGTAATCCTTACAGACTAATGAGTATCCATTCTCTAGAAGCTTGTTAATGTCTAGGTTTCACAATAAAATTAATTTGCCTTACAAGTGACCAAGTCACTTGGGGTTTTTATACACTGCAGATGTGACCTCAAATGCAAAGAGCTCAGCGAGATGCTGAGGATGGCTCTGGATGTTTTCCTGGGAAGACAAGAAGGGAAGGGGGCAGCAGGCATGGTCCTGGGCAGACAGTTTAAAGGAAGGATGCTGAGATGGTCCAAGATTAGAGCCCATTGTTTGGTGTGCAGAAATGGACAAAAGAAATAGGAGACCTAGTCCAGGCACAGCGGGAGTTAGTACCACTTAGGGACAGAAATGGAATATTCCTGTTCTGGCACAAACTGAGAGAATACTGCCCTTAGACCTCTAGGCATTTTGCTGGAATCTATAACTTCAATCACTCTTACAAAATCTTAGAAGTCTGAAGGTTTTCCTGAAGTGCTCTATAGCAATTCATTTTTTTTCACATAATATGAACAAAAATATCTATGCATAAGAAGAGATCCTGTGCTCACAATTTTCTTGTTTTTATTATTTCTTACACACACACACACACACACAAAGTTGCTGAATGTAATTGTGAGATGCAACTGTTGCTTTGTGCAAAGACCACTTTTGCATAATGACAAGCAAATACAAAAACAAAATCAGAAGTCCACACAAAATGAGTTAAACGATGGGGAGAGTTTAGAATGAGTATCTTGTTGCTGCGAGTGATGATTCAAGTGGAACAAAAACAGGCTGTAGCATTGGAAAATTGAGGGCACAGAAGCAAAGGAGATCAACTGGAAAAAGATGACCTGGATTTGGGGTTTTATGTAACTCCTTTGTAAACAGGATATAAACAAATACATTCAAACACCTGCAAGGATGATAAATTTCTAGAAACTTAAAAAAGACTTTTGCCTTTATTTGAATTGTTCAGCTTCTTAAGAAATATCTACACCATCTGCTACACCTATGGTAAAGGCACAATCATACCGGGGTCAGCACTGTGACACAGCAGGTTAAAGCCCCGGTCTGCAGCGCTGCCATCTCATATGGGCACTGGTTCGAGTTCCGCCTGTTCCAATTCTGATCCAGCTCCCTGCTAATGCACCTGGGAAAGCAGTGGAGGATGGCCCAAGTCCTTGGGCCTCTGCACCTGCATGGGGAACCCGGAAGAAGCTCCTGGCTCCTGGCTTCAGATCAGCTCAGCTCCAGCCTTTGCGGCCATTTGGGGAGTGAACCAGTGGATGGAAGACCTCTCTCTCTGTCTCTACCTCTCTAACTCTTTCAAATAAATTAAAATAAATCTAAAAAGTGCACAATCATACTGTACATTTTATGACAACTTCCTTTTTTCTGATTGACAACATTGGAGAAGAAATGGAATATTATTTTAGAATACTAGAGTGTCTGCTTCTTTAAATTTTGGTAGATAAAGAAGCTTCTATAAAATAAGAGACATTTTCCTCTTGGGTTTAAACCTGTAATAAAATGTTGCTGACAGACTAATTATAAATGTTTTATATATTTCGTGCATATGTGCTCCTCTCTAAACCAATTTAATTCCCATTAATGCTAATCTTGTTAATACCCACTCAGAGAGGAAAGGAATACTCTTAATAAACTATTGATTTATTTGAGCGATTTAAATGGGGGATGAGCAGGAAGAAATAGAAGGGGAAAAGCCACCATTTTAACCACATATGTGTTTCTCAGAACATTTTCCAAATATTAATGAACACTGCTATAATTGGGAAAAATAGGAAATGAGGAAAAATAAAGTGACAAAGTGACAGTCCTCCATCCATGAAAAATATAAGCATTGTAAACCAATTAATTGATTTTTTTTTAGTACTAACTCTGAGTTTAGAAGTGAGATATTGCCAAGAAAAGTAGACTTCCTTTCTTAGAAAAGAAAAATTATTTTCATACTTGTGCTTTTTAAGTGGAAGTGGGAGTTTCTTTTGCAACAAAAAAAGTCAAAATCAGCAGATGGGTCAGTTTTGGTCCTGCAATACCTTGTCTCATTCCCAGTGTGGCTGTCTGGCTTGTCTTTCATACAAGAATCTCTCAGGGGCCAGCGCTGTGGTTATTGGGTAAAGCTGCTGCCTGCAGTGTCAGCATCTCGTATGGACGCTGGTTCAAGTCCTGGCTGCTCCACTTCAAATCCGGCTCTCTGTTGTGGCCTGGGAAAGCAGTGGAAGATGGCCCAAGTCCTTGGGCCCCTGCACTCAAATGGGAGACCCGGAGAAAGCTCCTGGCTCCTGGGTTCAGATCAGTGCAGCTCCGACTGTTGCAGCCAATTGGGGAGCGAACCAGCAGATAGAAGACCTCTCTCTTTCTCTCTCTCTCTCTCCTTCGCTCGCTGTGTAACTCTTTCAAATAAATAGATAAATCTTAAAAAAAAAAATCTCTCTCAAATGTAATGAAGTTTCCATCGGTCAAGATTTCCACACCTCAAGGAACTTGAATCAGCCAGAAGTCAAGAGTGGCTCATAAAAGCGGCTGGGTCCAGATGTTCGCAGTCTCAGGGACCACACTTGCAAATGAGACTGGGTGCCAGAAGGTGCCGAAAGGTTAAAACCCAAGAGAACCCTCTCTGCCTCCTCCTGGATCATCTAGAGACTGGTCACCTGTTCTAAAGCTGCAGATTTATTTTTCCTTTCTCCCTGGAACAAGTGCTGTGAGACAGGGCTAAAGTGGAAGAAGGGGTTTTATCCAGGATCTGCCTTCCAGCCTTAAGATAAGTCGTTTAACTTTCCTGACACTCAGTTTTCCTTATCTGTGAACTGGGTTTATCTGTGGACTCCCTGTGCTCTTCATCCTCCACAGTAGTAAAAAGGCTCAAACACCATAACTAAAAGCATGAGAAAAGCTGTGAGCTGATGGACAACAGGTATTACTCCCTGGGGAAGGATGTCAGAAAAAGCGGCACAGCCAGAGGCGAGAAAAACCTCAGACAGATAGCATTTGTCTCAGGGGCTCATATTCTAAAAAAAAAAAAAAAAAAAAAAAAAAAAAAACAAAAACCAAAAAACAAAAAGAGAGATGTTTACCCTAAGGCTTTGCTTAAAACTTTTAATGCCACTGATGCTTATAAGTTACGACTGAGTGTATGAACACAAAGTGAAAAACTGGACATCGGAGGATTTAGATCCGTGAGGGTTTTCTCGTCTCTCTCCAAACGTTGGGTGTTGGTTCCAGATTCAGATGGGGCAGGGGTGTGGGAACAAACTCTTTAACATTCATTTAAAAAAAAAATAATAAGGACACAAGTATTTTCAGCGCAAATATTAAATTGCCTTAATCTACCAACTGATAAAAAAATATATTATATTTTGATTTTTTTTTAGCATTTCTGTTTAAATTACAGCCTCAATCCCAGCCGAAGTCGTGGCCGGTCATCTGGTAGAACTTGCGGTTGAAGGGCCGGTAGAAGTCACGCAGCCGGCGCAGCGCCTCGCTGTCGATGTCCGGGTGCGGCCGGCCCTTGGTCTTGCCCAGGCAGTGCGGCTTGGGGCTGCCCTCGGGCTTCTTGAGGCAGGGGAAGCCCTTGGTCTTGTTGAAGTAGAAGTGCTTGTCCGTGATGATGCGCTTGAGGCCCAGGAAGTCCTGCACGCGGCCCAGCTCGCCGGCCGGGTCGCGGATGAGCCGCTCGCCGCTCACGAAGAGCAGCTGGCGCAGCGGGAAGTGGCGCAGCCAGTGCTCCAGGTGCTTGGCGTAGATGCCGATCTGGATGGCGCTCCACGACGTGTCGATGAGGCCCGCGCTCCTGTTCTTGAACGTCAGGCTCTCGAAGCTGGGGATGTCGGGCCGCTTGGACAGCGTCTGCGTGTAGTCCGAGATGGCCCGGGTCACCGGGTCGCGCACCACCACGATGAGCTTGGTGTCCTTGGACATGGCCGAGATGCGCGCGGGCGCCTCGCGCGTCACGAAGTAGCTGGGCGTCTTCTCCATGGTGATCTGCCCGTCCAGGGTCCTCGGCATCAGGTCCCTGGGCAAAGCACGAGGAGGAGAAAAAAGGGACGTTAGCGCCTGCAGAATGAGCGACTTCCCTTTATTTCCCTGGAGAGCGGCGCCACTGCGGAGCCAGACTGCGCGAGTCACAGCCCCAGCTGTCTGACCCTGGAGGAGTCGCATAGTCCTCAGGCCCCTCGGGTGTTGATAACATCACCGATCTCACAGGAGTGATGATTACATGAGCTAACGGACCTCAACAGCTTAGATATAGGCCTGGACGGGAGCAAGTAACATGCTTGTTCTTTTAAAAATGTTTTATTGTCATTATTATTATTATCATATTATTATTATTATCAATTCACAATGCTGTAAGAAAACAGCCTTGGTCAAATCCTTTGGGTGAAGGAGAATATTGCCATAAACACACTTACACTGCTATAAGAGGGTTTTTAAAAAATTCTGAACTTTTCCTTCTTAAAGCAATGACACTTAGCATAATATTGCACATTACATCAAATACTTGCCTTCATAATTCCTGGGTGTTCTCATTACAGGTAAGATTTATTAAATAATCCCTTTTATATCTAATGGTTTGAAATGCCATCATTATCATATTCTAACTATCTTTCTTCCTCTCTACATTGGCCCAATTGTAAGTTATTGCCACCTTACAATATATTTTCACATATGCCCAAGCAAATTTTGACAAAGTTGTTTTGTGTGTTCTTGATGTTGCTTGTTTGTTTATTTTTTCTAATCAATGGTAACATTTCCTTGTCATGTTAAAAAAGTCCCACTGAAGTTGTTTTTAAGATGCTTATTTCTGGGCTGGCGCCGTGGCTCAATAGGCTAATCCTCCACCTTGCGGCGCCGGCACACCGGGTTCTAGTCCCGGTTGGGGCGCCGGATTCTGTCCCGGTCGCCCCTCTTCCAGGCCAGCTCTCTGCTATGGCCAGGGAGTGCAGTGGAGGATGGCCCAGGTGCTTGGGCCCTGCACCCCATGGGAGACCAGGAAAAGCACCTGGCTCCTGGCTCCTACCAGGATCAGCGCGGTGCGCCGGCTGCAGCGGCGGCCATTGGAGGGTGAACCAACGGCAAAAGGAAGACCTTTCTCTCTGTCTCTCTCTCTCACTGTCCACTCTGCCTGTCAAAAAAAAAAAAAAAAAAAAAAGATGCTTATTTCTGTTTATTTGAAAGGCAGAGTGACACACAAAGAGAAACAGAGAAATCCTCCATCTGCTGGTTCTTTTCCCAAATGCACACAACAGAAAAGGCTGGGCCAAGACAAAGTCAGAAACCTGGAATTCCATCCCGGTCTTCCATGTGGGCAGCAGGGATCCACTGAGCCACCACCGCTTGCTGCCTCCCAGGAAGCTGGATTGAAGGGGAGTAGCCAGGACTCTCCTAGGAGATGCTGGTTTTGTACGCGGGGTCACAAGGAACAGCTTAACCTGCTGTGTCACAGTCTCGACCCCTCCCAGTGAAGGGTCCATAGAGCAGATTGTTACTGGATTCAAGTGTGCTTTCTCACTGAGAACTGAGGAACTTCCTGGCCAGCCACATAGTGGGGTCAGGAGCCACACAGCCTATCTGCTCTTCTAACTTACGTGTACTGGCATTATATGCATATTTGAAAAATGTATACATATATATATATATATAATCTGATATTAAGGTGTTATCTTTCTAATTCCAAGTCTTATAAGAAATAGATGCTTGCTCAAATCAATACTAGATTAAATGAATTTTTGGAACTTAATGTCATGACTACATTTTGTCCTTTGATGTAATGATAAGAAGAATCAAACTTATATGTTTCTATTGAACTCACCTTTATTCCTGGAATAAACTTCATTGAATGTTGGTGTATTATTCTTTTATTATATGCTAAGCTTGATTTGTTACTTGTCATTTTTTTTAAATTTTTCATCTATATTCATTCATGAGCTGTCCCTGAAGTTATTCTTCTAATAGCTTAATCAATAATTAGAATATGGGGGCTGGTGCTGTGGTGCAGAGGGTTAACACCCTGGCCTGAAGCACTGGCATCCCATGTGGGTGCCAGTTCTAGTCCCAGCTGCTCTACTTCTGATCCAGCTCTCTGCTATGGCCTGGGAATGCAGTAGAAGATGGCCCAAGTCCTTGGACCCCTGCATCCACGTAGGAAACCCGGAAGAAGCTCCTGGCTCCTGGCTTCTGATCGGCACAGCTCCGGCTGTTGCGGCCATCTGGGGAGTGCCAGTGGATGGAAGATCTTTCTCTCTGTCTCTACCTCTCTCTGTAACTCTTTCAAATAAATAAAATAAATCTTTAAAAAATAATTAGAGTATGAATTATTCCACAAATAAAGTGTTTCCTATTTTCTATATGCTTGAGAAGTTTAAGTAACACAATTTTCTGTTCTCGAAAATTTGTTGGGAGTTATCTTCAAAGCCTATCTAATATTGGTACTTGTTGAGATGAGAGTAGGAAGCAAATACCTTTTCATTTTCTGGTCTGAGTATTGCCTTATTGTAATATTCTGCCTTGTGTTGATTTTAAAAAGTAGTCAATACTTTTCTAAAACTCACCCAGTGAGTAGCTACAGATAGACTCTGATTCTCAACAATAATTTTGTGTTTTCTGCCTTTCTTTCTGCCTTCTTGAGTAGATTCTCCTTTCTAATCCACTGATTCCCAATTCAGCTTTAAAAAAAGCTACTATATATATTATTTTAATATGTATTTCAGGGTCAAAGAGGGACAGGCAGGCATGCAGAGAGCTGCTATGAGCAGCTGGGCCTGGCCAAAGTCAGGAGAAGGCACAGTCCTATGCAGCTGGCAGGGATCCAATGACCAGGGCCATCAACTGCAGCCTTCCAGGAGCTGAGCAGGGAATCAAACCCAAGCACTCCCACACTGGATATGGACGTTCCAACCAATGTCTTAGTCACCAGGACAAAGGCCAGCCCCCACCCCTATGCTAGCTTCTCTAATATCTCCTTCCATTTATTCGTTTTCAAAGCTATGCTTTCATATTCTTCACATTTATTTAGCTAGATGCTTATTTCATCTATTTTCAATCTCTCCCTCCAGTAATAAAATCATTTTGAGGCTAGTTTTCCTCTGTGGTCCAATTTTCTATAAGCCTTGTAATGTTCTGCTGTCTTTATCATGACTTCACGCATATTTAATAATCATATTAGGCAGTTTTGATTTCCATTTTGATACAGTCATTAACTAGGACTGTATTGATTTTGAGGCCAAATGATTGACTTCTTTTGTTTTGTTCCTGATTTTATACCTGTGATAAAAGGGTATACTTGGGTTGTATTTGCCTTTGTTGACTGCAAAATTTTGTCCCAACCACACTGTTTGCTAATATATTGTGAAAAATTTTAAACATACACAAAAGGAGAGAAAGTATAAAATGAAATTCATATACCTTACATATAGCTTCAAAAGTGGAAATTGATGGCTAATTTCATTATAAATCTTCCCACTTCTGCTCCCCTACCATAACTGGAATTTTTTTTCTTTTTAAATTTATTTGAGAGTCAGATGGACATAGGGAGAAAGAGAGAGAAAAACACGGAGAGAGCGCCCATCTGCTGGTTCACTCCCCAGATACCTATAGTGGTCCAGCCTTACCAGGCCAAATCCATGAGTCAAAAACTCAAACCAGGTCTTCCACATGGGTAGCAGGAACCCAACCACATGACCCATCATTGTTGCTTCCCAGACATTTGGTTTCTATTGCTGGATTTAAAAAAAATTTTAAAGAAATTTGCAATTTCTTTTTCAAAGAAATTTTTAATGTACCTCATTACCCATCTATTAAGTTTACCTTGAGGCAAGGGTAAGAGTAAATAAAGACGAGATAGCTTGGCGTTCACCCAAAACAGACATATATCGTCCACACGCAATGCCAATTCCAATGCCCATGCAATGCCAATTCCACTGAGTGACATGAGCTCACATCATTCGTCTTTGTGGGGCCCCCTTCACAGGACTGAGATGTTGGCTAGCCAGCCCAATCTGCTCTGGAACTACAGGTGTCCCTAGTGTAAGACGAGTGAGGACATCTGTCCAGAGACTGTTGGAATGCCTCAGTGAAAGAAACTTGATCAAATGCATGAAAAAGTCTAAGTCTGTAAAAGCAAACATCGGAGAAGAAGGAGTATTTGTTGATTATTTTTAAGTCAGCATTCCTGTCTCCTTTCCCTTGACTTCTTATTTCTTTACCTCTAACTTTGGCCACAATCTAAAACAGAGTGCCTGGTTGACCTGTCTCTGGGGAGAGGAAAGCTCCAGAAGTCTTTTTCAGGGATTGGAGTCACAGATTGTATTACGTCACAGGAAACAACCACAAAGACCTCTGGGAAAAAAGCAAACAAAAACAAAAGCATTTTCAATGATTTCAACAGAGTAGGGGAAGGAGCTATCTCAAAGAGGGGGAGTTTAATGAGGAAAGAGGTAAAATAGAGTTTCAAAAGTAAACCACATTAAGTAGACAAATACTGTTATTTCCAGGGTGAGAAAAATTGACTGGTTATCATGGGCTTGGGTGAGGAGTAGGGCTTAGCTATTGGCTATCTGTAAGCTACTTTTTGCAAAGAAGAAGATGTCATCGCCCAAACAAATCCTCAATGACGATTTCATTGCGAAGAAGAACTTCTTGGTAAAAGGACTCACAACAGGATTCTTTAAAAATTCTTTAATTTATTCATTTTTTCACAGCAATTTGGATTTTAATGTTTGAAAATGTGCTCACCCATCACATAAAATAAGTCGCCTGTATAAATCAGAATGCTGCATTTCAACATGCTTTGCAACACAGAAATGATGCTTGATGCTTTCTTACTTGAGTAAGGTACATGTATTTACTCTGCTTGAGTAATGAGGAGTCTTCAGTAAGTTTACGAAAATGTGCATTATGAAAATGCTATGTGTGGGTTAAAAAATTTTGGTGCCCAAATCAACATCTTTTAATTCCATTTTCCATGAACTTTTCAAAATCCCCACCATATTCCATAGTATGAAAGGTCTACAGAAC